CAAACAGAGCCTAGGACTGCAAGGAAAGCTGGAAGGCAAGGCGGGCAAAAGCCTTGTGCTGTAACCCCAGAACCCTGAAAGCTCTGCTGGAGCTCTGTGGAGATCGAGGGGCCGGGCTGGGCAGCCGCTCCACCGGCCCCATCGCCGGCTCCGGCAGCCGGGAGCAGCAGCAGCTCCTCGCCCAAACCTGGGCCCTCGGCTCTCTGCCGGGGCTGCGGCGCTGGTGGGGCAGGCGCCGCTCCCTCCTGCGGCCTCCTTGCAACCCGGCTCCCGGGGCAGCCTCGGGCTTCCCTCTGGGGCCCGGTCTGGCGCGCTGCCCTCTTCCGGGGCGCGACACAGGCCCCCTAGCGCTTGCACCGCCCGCGAGCCGCGGCCATTCACGGCTGCACGCTGCCCCGTGCCAGCACGCTCCACCAGCGGGGGTGGCGGGTGGCCCACAGCCCTTCCGCACTCGGGACGGAAGAGCGAGGAAAAGCAAGGCCCTGCGCAGGGCAGGCCGGAAGCACGTGCCATCTGGGAAGCTGCACACGCCCGTCCTGACAGCGGGCGAGAGGGCCTTCCCGGCACACACCGAAAGTGGCACGTGCAAAGCGGCCTGTCGCTTGGGCCCCGCCGGCCGACTCCCCAGCGGTGGGGTGCCTCGCGCCTCCCGGGAACCTCCTGCTCCCAGACCCTTCCGCATCCTCCCTGCTGCGGGGACCGGGGAGGGCCCTGCCATGGCAGAGAGAGATCCGTCCCACGCCCTCGGCCGTCAAGTGCGGCAGGCGAGTCTGAATAAAACAAGCACTTCCCAAATGAAGCCTCCCAGTTCGCGGCCGCCAGCACCGCCCGCCTGGCAGCGCCCACCTGGCAGCGCTCCCCCCGGAGGGAGCCGGCAGCTCGCGGAGGCAGCAGGTGAGCCGGGAGCGCGTCACGGTGTGGGACCAGCTGGAGGCTGGGGGGCACGGGGGCAGAGCTCGCCTCCGTGGCGGCGGCTGTCCAGGAGGCGGGGAAGGCCGACCGTGCGATGCCAACTCTCGGCTGCTCGTGGGACACCTGGGCCCAGGAGCGCTCGCAAAGGGCGGTTTCCAGGTGTCGCCCCATCTCCGATTCTCGGCCCGATGAGCACAGGACAATGTGCCGACCCTTCTAGATGGGGGGGTACGGGGAGCTCCCAGTCGGTCTCTGCGTGACCTGGAGGGGATCGGCAATGGTTGGGCTGCCCGGTTGTTCAACTGCCCCGACGGATTAGGCGGCTGACATGCAGAACGCTGGGGCTCCGCCGGGAGACTTCCGTGCGCAAGCCCTTTGTGAGCTCAGGTTGTTTCTGGTACTGGGAGAGGACCCTTTTCTTCTCCGTCTGTGCCTTTTGCATCGGTGGATCTCGAGCAGAATGAGCCGGCCTGAGCTCTGCCCACCCCCGTGCCGAGCGAGCGGACCCCGATGCGTTCGCAGGCTCGGGGAGGAGGCGAGGCGGGGTCCGCCCATGGGGTCCAACGAGGCGTCTTCCCAGCCGAGGGTCCCGGCTGCCCCGTGCCTGGCGCTGGAGAGAGGCCACAGCCCCCGTGCTCGGAGGCTGAGGGGCCCAGGCGCGGACCCCGGCAGCACCTCCCGGTTGAGCTGGGGAAGGCGCCTGTCCAAGCCCCTGGAGAGCCATGCGAAAGACCGGGTGATGCTCTGGTCCAAAGGCACCGCGAGTCCGGTGAGGGCTCCCCCCACGTCGTACAAGGGGTGCCCGCGGGAGATCCGCCAGGCCGGCGAGGGCTGGAACCCGAATCCTAGGAGAGCCGGCTGAAAGAGCTGGGGACGCTTCGCCCAGGCAAGAGGAAATGGAGGGTTGGGGGCGCAGGACACTTCCCAGCGGAGCCACCCCCGTCCCGCAGGCGCTTCTTAACGGAGGATGGGGCCGCTGCAGCAGCAACACGCTTGCCTGGAAAGGCGAGTCGCTGTGCTGACCTCCAAGGTCCGCTTCCGTCCCAAAATTGCTACCAGCTCTTTGACTCGAGGAGCTCATGGACCGGAGCCTCGCCGGGAGGCCTCGCCGGGTGAAACTACCCATACGCCGCACACGTCATTTCCTGACTCTCTCGGTCATTTCCGACCTTGGGTGCAGCCTCGGCCCTTTCCAGTCCGCCTATTTTGCAGGAAAACGGGCAGCAGCCCTGTCATCCTCGACCAGAGGCTGTGGGAACTCCTCTCTCCGGAAGGCACGGCGTGGAGGGCCTCACCGGCGGATAGGGCCCCAGAGAGTGTCTGGTTAGGCCCAGTGGCCGGATTCCCGCCGTGGTTCCTCCAGGGCTCGCAGCGCTTCACGCCCATGAGCCGTACAACAGCCCTGCAGGGTCGCCCAGCACTCGACGGGCACACGCAGTGCCGTTCGACCCAGGCCGAGCCCTTGCGATGCGCACCTGCCGACTGCCACATTCCGGCTGATGTGTCACTTCACCCACGCGGGAGGCATGTTTTAATTGGCCGGCTTGTGGCATTTCCTGAGGAACATGTGGGGGTGGCTCCATGACTAACCAACAGATAATCGGGCACCTGATTCTTTGGCCTTGCTGACCGAGGGCGCCCTCCGAGCAGCTCCCCGGGAATGCTGGCCTTGCCTCTACAGCAAGCGGGAGCCCAGGGCAAGTTCCCTCTCCCAGAACACCATGGTGTGATGCCTCCAACCTTCGAAACAGATGTGGGCAAGTAGCTGGCACTCGAGGGCTCTGTTTGCTTTTCCCACATGTCAGCTTTGGAAGATGACGACGGTGATATAAAACGGCACCGCAACGACCTTACCAAGGCGGGATGGCCTCATCGGTGCTGCTAGTCCTCAGGAAAGACTCTTCGACTGCCATCCGGGTCTCAGTCGATCCTCTGTCATCGCAGCTCCTCCCCATGGGAATATTCGCCTTCCGTGGAAGCTCTGCATGTTTACATTCTTCCATGGACTTTATAGCGTTCATTCTACAACCGCCCCATACGGGAGGCTAGTGTGTGAGCTTTGAGGCAGGGGCTCTGGCCGAGAGATCGTCACTAAGGAGGCCTTTATGTCAGGGGTCCTGCCCGCCCTCCGCCACGGCATTTTCCCCAGTGGGTGAGATTCTTGGAAATAAAATCGACTTCGGCCAATTGCAGTCACATTTCTAACCACAGAAACTGTGTTTTCTTTCTCTCCGAGCGGTGCTTTCCCTTCCCTTGAGCAAGGAAAGAAAGCAGAAAACCTGCCTGTTCTCACAGCAGGCTAGCTGGATGCCTGTCGCTCCCCTTGGCCTGTGGGAGCTTAATCCGCTGGCCAGGCTGGGATCGGATCAGCCGAACAGCGGAGCGGGGGGGCACCCCCAGGGCTGCCGGGCTGCTGCTGAAGAGCGGAAGTGAGACGGCTCAGCTGCCAAGGGATGAGCTGGGAAGAGGTGCTGGTCACGGGCTTCCTAGGAATCCTGCCTGCTGACTTATCAGTGCTCGGTTTGCCAAATGTTCATCAGGCTGTAATAAAGAGCAGAACGGAAATGGTTCTTCTTCCGATGGCATTTAATTATTTAATTATGGCCGTCTGCAAAGGGAGAATGCCTCAAGGGGTTGGAGAAGCGGGGCAAGGAGTGACTCACCTGCAAAGCAGGGGGCCCAACCTGCTTTTTCGGCACAGGCAGTGCCCACTGAGAGATGCTCCTCCCCTGGAGCTGGAAACTTCAGGGAATTAATTCATGCCACTCCAACCACTAGGCAACAGTTCCTTCCAGAGCCAGGAAGGCATTCCAGGTGTCCTGTCCTGTCTCCGCTTTATTCTGCCTCCTTTGTCGTTCGTCTGTCTGCACAGGTGAGCAAAAGGTGCTTTGAGGAAGAAAACTGGAGTGCTAGTTCAGCAGTAAGTACCCCGCTTTTGACCGGTTTCAGGGGGAATAACCCAGGAAGAGCATTTTTCCCATATGTTCTTCCTCAGCTGCTTCAGAGACCATCTTCTGGGTGCCACGAGGCACAATCGCATGACGGGGAAGGGGAAGGGCCTTCCTCGCAGTGGTTCCCCGTGCCTGGCACTCTCTTCCCCGCATCCACATGGCATTTGCCAGGCTGAGACCACCTGCTCTTCCTCCTCCGCCCTGCGGACACTTGATTTCTAATCACGCTCTGGCCATTAAGCTGGCCCGTTCTGGCTTTGCAATTCCAACCTGTTCACGTTGTGTTTCTTGCTTTGGTTTTCCTTCATGGTTATTTGTCTTGTGCTTAAGCTGGTCAAGTGCCCCTTGACCCCACTCCTCCTCCCGGCCAGCTGCAAACGGGCTCCAGAGTTAAGAATTTATTTTTCATGGCGCAATACAAAAGCAACCAAACAGCACCATTAGAGAAGGGGAAAAGGCAGAGGACGGATAAAGCAACCTTGTAATTCTGGAGTGAAAATGTTAAAAACCAATTACACCAGTTACATATAGACGATAGCTCTTGCACAGGTAGATAACAGAACATTCTGCTGTTGGGAAGCGAAATTATGCATAGAATTCAACAAGGGCACCCCATGTACCCACCTATTTATCCACCTACGGATTACGCCTGAAGGCCACCTGTTTCGAAACCCAATTTTTCATTAAATTCCCCACCCGTCGTGTTACTGCAGGACGGCCATTTATCTTTACACCGCCGTTAAGGTTCCAAAAACGGCTGCCACGCCGCCCCCGGCCTTGCTGCAGAGACCCTGCGCCGGTCCTCTTGCCCTGGCCGCCGGAAGCCCGCTCTCAGCCCCTTGGGCAACGCGGCTCATCCCCAGCAGTGAACCCTGCCGTGGCAGATGGGCCGCAGGGCCGAGACTGCGGCCAGCTGCACCCGAGTTCTCCCTTGGCTCCGGGGCCCCTCCTGCGCAAGCCTGTCTCGCGGGAGAGCCGCCGAGATGAGAGGGGGGCGGGAGGGACACCCCTCGCGGGGGGCCAGCGAACGCTGTGTCAGTGGCCTTTCCCAATCTCGCTTGCAGCTCGGAGGAGGCGCGTCCTCAGCGCTCACCGCCGGCCGGCCGGCCGTCCTGCTTGCTGCGCACGGGCCACGGGATGGGGCGCACCGGGGAGCCCCTGAGCCCGCTGTACCGCTGGTACATCTACGCCATCCACGGCTACCTCTGCGAGGTGCTCTTCACGGCCCTCTGCGCCTTCCTCGCGCACCGGGACTGGAGGTTCCAGGGCGTCTCCAGCGTCTGGGCGCTCTTCATCTACGGCACCTGCAGCCTGGCCCTGGAGCGGCTCTACGTGCGGCTGGGAGCCTCCTGCGGCCTCCTGACCCGCGGCGTCCTCTACACCCTCTGCATCTACCTCTGGGAGTTCTCCACGGGCTTCGTGCTGCGCCGCTTCGGCGCCTGTCCCTGGGACTACAGCCACTTCCCCTACAACTTCATGGGGCTTGTCACCCTGGAGTACTGCCTCTTCTGGTTCTTCGGCTCCCTCCTCCTGGAGAAGGTGGTCATCAGCAACGCCCTCCGGCTCAGGCTGGATGCAACCTGGGAGGCACCCACAGCGCGCCCCGGCCCCGGCGCCAAGCGGAAGCAGAACTGACCCCGCGCGTCCGGGGAGGGAGGAGAGGCGTGGGGGGCAGGTTCCGTCCAGTGCAGCCCTGTCCCCTCGCAGGCTGGGGAAGGAAGCCAGCTGGTCCGGCCCCGGCTCCTCTCTTGCAGAACCACAGTGGACGGTCAGGCGCTCGATCCAGGAGGCCAGGGGCTCAAATCCCCGCCGCCAGCCAGCTCTGTGGACAAGCGACCATCTCGCACCTCCCTCGCCAGGTTGTCACAAGGCTGAAGGCAGGGGCGGGCGGGGGGGTTCAAAGATACAGCCCAAAGCTCCGAGGAGGCGTTAAGGGATCAAGGAAGCAGCCCTTGAAGGGCTCCTCTGGGGTCGGGGGTGGTGGTCTTGGGCTGCCTCTGGCCCAGGCTCCTTCCAGCTCTGGGATCAGTCCAGGCCTCCTTCCTCTCAGATTGATAATGCCACCAAAGATCCATGCATGGGATGAAACACAGAAACAGAGCAAGCCAGAAGGGGCCTCCCGGGCCATCTAGTCTGACCCCTGGCTCCAGCTGGCTCCGCTCACGACATGCCCACCATGTGCATGTCCAGCCTGTCCTTGAACACCCGCACCGATGCGGCCTCAGCCACCTCCCGTGGAAGCCCGTTCCGTACTGTTGGGGTCCCAACTGTCAGGAAGTGCTTCCTGGCATCCACCTTGAATCTTGGCCCCCAAGACTGAGTTTGCGGGCCTGGCTGACTCACGCCAGTTTGGGAAGCTCAAGCAAGGAATATTCTAAAGAGAGCTGGGCTGAGCGACACCTCAGCCGATGGAGGCAGCGGGTGAAAAGAATCCGGGTGCCGAGGAAAGTCCTTTCCGAGCCATCTCAGCTGCCCTTCCAGCCGCGTCCGCAGGTGCCCAAGCCTTCTCTGGGAAGGAGCAGAGAAGCCCTGGCTCTGGAAAGCCTTCCAGGAGCATCTGGCTGCACCTCCCATCGCTGCCGGCCAGAGCGGACTCCACCACCTCGCGGATCATCCGGCTGAGCAGCCGAGGTGGAGAGGCTGCTGGTGTTAATAGCCAAGGGCCGGAAGCCGGGAGGAAGGCCGACGGGCACCTGGGGACGGGGGCGTGTGAGATGGCACATTTACTGCTTGTGTCTAGACAGAGGGAGGGGCGCAGGACAGACACGGGTGGCACCCTGGAAGGTCCTCCGGCAGGGCCATGCGCTGGAGATCTGGGGCCGGCCTGAATTACGACCGGCCACTGCACTGAACTTCTCTCCAAGCAGGAGACCCACCGCTTTGGCCCCCTGCCCAAACAGGTGTGTTACCCACATGCCATGCAGAGCTGGGCCACCAGTAGCTCCAATCTTGGCTGTGCCGGCCGCGGATGATAGAAGTGGTTGTCCATCGCCTGGAGGCCACCGGGATGGTGGAACACCGTCTCCAGCGATCAAGCCGTTCCAGGACCCCCCGTCCTTCCTGCAGCAGCTTCCCTCCCCCACGATCTCCCGCGTTGCTTCGACCCTTGCCCTGCCGACCCCCGAAACCCACCACTTGGGCAAAATCTCCCGGGAGAACCAGGGCTTCCACGCCTCGTCCTTCAGTGGGGGGGGGGGGAGTGCCACCTCGGGGCCTGGCCTGGGGGGTCGCGCGAAAGAGGAGGGCCTGAGGATCCAGGCGTCCCGGGTGCATGCCAATCGTTTCTGCATAAAGCCGCTAATCGCTTTATCTATTTTTAATATCATCGCCAAACTGAGATCTTGGGCTCCCCCGGATGGGGCTGTGCTGGAACAGAGTGCTGCAGGAACACACGAAGGGAAATGCCTTTTATTTCACGCTCAGAAACGATGCTCCTTTTGGATGCTCCAAAACTGTCCCAGAACCTGCTGATGCGCAAGTGGAAACAGAGGCGCACCCATCGCCTCAGGGTCCGCACACGACCACGGGGGAGAGCTGCAAGCACACCGCCAGCCCCTCTGCTTAAAAGCTCACCGTGACTGCAACACCTTTCTTGCTGATGCATTAAGAACTGCTGATAAATACTTTGCGGGACAGAATCTGTACTCTGCACATGTTCCAAAGCCCGCTACCGGGGCACTGGCTCTGCAGGAGGGGAGCAGCCTGGGGTGGGGTGCTCAGGAGGACGGGGCTCCCGTCCTCTGCCCAGCCTCTGTCCCAGAGACCACGCAGGGGAGCCAGCCCCCTTGGCTGCTCGGCGGCTCCTCGGAGCGGGCTTGCAGGATCCCCGCTGGCCACCAGAGGGAGCTGCGGCTGCGGCCGGCGCGCAGAGGAGGCCGAGAGGGGCAGATCCAGGCGCGCGCTTGGCAAGACCAGGGCGCGGGTCCAGCCTTCCTCAGCCCGGTGCCACGCAGAGCTGCTGGCTGGGAATGATGGGAGTTGCACGTCACACCTCTGGGGAAGGCGGGGCGAGGCGTGCTGCCTGGTCCCGCAGGGAGGGGAGGGCGTGGAGTTCAGCTCCGTGGGCAGCGCTGCAGACCCGACCCACGGCAAAGGAGGCCGCGAGCGAAGCCCTTTCCGCCACCGCCCCAGCTTGCTCTCCACGTGCGGGAAGGGTGCGCTTCACGCCAGAGCTCCCGCGGCAGGAGCCAAGGGCAGCCCACACGCCCCGCAGTGCGCGGACCCCACGGGGGGTGCAAGAAGGCGCACGCCGCAGGGAGGGCAGGTTGCTCGAGGCAGAGCGGGATCTGGGCCGCCCCCGTCCCAGGTCCCGGAAGGGCTTTGGATTCGGGCCGCCCGGCAACATGCTCCCAAGGCTCCGTGTGCCCTGAAGGGCACCCCGTTTGGGCGAGAAGGAGGAGGAGGGCGCCGAGTTCAGGAAAAAAGGCCCAAGGCGGAAGCGTCCAGGCAACGTGCATGGAGGCCGCAGGGATCGTGTGGGGCAGCGAGCCCCAGACCTCTGGGCCTTTGTGCCAGCCCATGCCCCCGGCTGCAGAGCGGCTGGCAGGTCTCCGGGGCTGCAAAGGGAAGCCCCGCCCCCCCCCGCTCCTCATGCGCCTGCTGACCTCGGAGCTCTTGCAAGCCAACTCTTTCAGGGCGTGGACGGCAGCATTATATGGCAAACGAAGGCCCGTGCGGTGGATCCTCAGCCTGAGGACTCTGTGGGGGTGGGGGTTCTGTGGGCCCCTTCGGGATCCTTGCAAATGGAAGAGAGAGGGAATATAATCAATGAAGAAGAAAAGGGTGTGTGTCTGTTCTGTTCTTAGGGCCTGCACCATGAAATTGAGACGGCTGAAACCGGCCACACCTGCAAGGGTGGCCCTCACCCTCCGGCCTTCTGGGGGTGTTTGTTTTTCAAAGTGTACCGATGGAACGGAATGATCATAAATGCCTCCTGGGGCAGAAGCCTGCAGCCTGCGACCACCAGGGCCAGCCCTCCCCACAGCCTTCCTAACCCTGACCCACGAGCGCAGGTTTGGCTCCCAACGGCAAAAGGACTTTGCTCTGAGTGGGGAAACAATAGCAAACTGTAGGGCAGCAGCAAGAGGGAGGGTCTCGCCGGGGGCAGCCCCCCAGTGCGAGGAGGGTGTCTCCGTGGGGCCTTCCTGGCGCCGGCTCCGCTCCACTCCCCTCCGGCCCAAGGCAGCTCGCAGTCCTAACCAGCCCTGCCCGCTGTTTTTGAGGGTGCCAGTTATACTACATCGCCTTGGTTAACTCCTGAAACTCCTGCGAGGGGCTTTCGTGGCGCTTTGGTCCGCATTCGGTGCACGTGCGATTGCATCGCAGGAACACACCTGCGTGCGCGCAGCACGACGCACCGGAGAGCCTGGCCAGGGGGGAGAAGAGAACTGGGACGATCGACCGGGAGCGATGAGGAGCAGAGTAGCCCGTCCTAGTCGCCGTCGCCCTCGCCGCAACGCCCGGCCCGGCCCGGCCCAGAGGCGCCCCCGCCGCGGCTCCAGGGGCCCGAGCGCCGACGCACGCGGCTCCCCGGGCGGCGCCCCTGCGCGCAGGAAATACCTGCCGGGGTTGCGAAACGCCCCGGGGCCGGCGAGCTCCTCCCAGCGCAGCCGCGCCAGCGGCACTTCGCCCCCGCGGGGCCCCCGCGCGGTGCCTTTTCACCGAAAATCAGGTGGGAGGAAGCGAAACCCAAGGCGAGGCGCTGCCGGTCCCGCCCCTGCAAGGCCTCCGCGGAGCACGCGCAAAAGCAGCCCCGGCGTGGGGGGGCAGGCTAAGGGCCGGCCAGTCCGCCCCCCCGCCCCGCCCTGCCCCGCCCCGCAAAACCCAGCCGCGGGATGGGGGGACGACAGCCCCCCCCCCGCCCGCCCAGGTCCCCTGCAGCTGGTGCGCCCAGGCATCCTGCCTCTGCGACCCGCAGCAGCATGGAGCCATGAGGACTAGCACCACCGAGAGCCTTCTCCTCCGGTCCCCTTTGGAAGCTGCCCGTCGCGTGCCAGCGCACAGCACAGTTAGACGGTGAAGAAGCCCTTCCTCCGATCTGGGCTATGCTTCCTGAGATTCCCCCCAGGCAGCTGCAGGGGCTGCCCGCTGGTGGCTCCCGGCTTTGGGAGGAGGGAGAAAACTCCTGCTGAGGTCCGGGAGGGGCAGTGCAGAAAAGCGGCCAGAAGGGGGGATGTGCCAGCTGGATGGCCCTCCAGGCTGCAGGCCAGCACTCCACTTGCAACACAGGGATCTGCCCTGGAATTTCCGAATTGCACAGGAAAGAGTGCCTCCGAGCAGGTGCAGCGCACCGTAGCCGAAAGGTGGCACCGACTCGAGGCTTTCGAGAGGCGCAGCCCCTCGGACGTCCTGCCTCTTTCCCCTGGGACCTGCTTTCCAAGGCGAGGGGTCGCAGAGCCTGGGGGTTTCATGGGGGGGTCAGTTGGCTGGCTGGCTGGCTGGCTTGCAAGTGCGGAGATCGCTGCAGAAAGCCCGGCGTGAGGAGGATGCGCAGGCGATGGCACCTGATTGCCTCAGCCGTCGGAGGCAGGCGCTCACTGTAATTAACCTGCCTGGGAATGGTGGGGAGGGAGGACTCCCCGAGGAAGTGACTCACTCCAAACAGGGAGTGTGTCCCGTGAAGCCCGACCACTAGGCACCACTCCCTTCCAGACCTGGGAAGCTGCCACGAGGGCTGGCAGCCTCCCGGCCTGCCTGGCTTCAGGCCCCGGCCTGCTCCTTGCAGCTGCGCTCCGTACGGATGAGCCGGAGGCAGGCCAGGGGAAAGCCCGCAAGTCCCCCCAGGGTAAGTTCCGCGCTCTGACTCTGTTCTGTGGGTGGGCAGCCCAAGAGCCGGCCGGGATGCTTCCCCCGAGGGGCGAGTCTGCAGCAAAGCTCCTCTGGGGCCTCTCCCAGGGCCGGCGTGTGCCTGAGCCTAACCAATGCTCAAAATGAAGAGGAGCCCTTGCATCACCGGAGCACACGCCCTGGCAGCTCCCCGGCTCTGCTTCTTTTCAAAAGGCTCATTCACGGAAGCCTGTCAGCAGCCGTGAGGGCCGAGTGGATCCTCCATATCCCAGAGCAGTCTACCTCTGCGTTCTGCTTTCAGGAGGCTAGAAAGCAGGGAGGGCTGCTCTTTTCTCGCTCTGCCTGTGAGCGTAGCCGTTGGAAGCAGGAAGCTGGGTCAGGGCAAACCCTTCTTGTCTGCTTGTGGGTTACTGCTGGAGGGAAGCACAGACTCAAACTGGTCAAACCAACATTGTTTCCAGTTCAACAGCTCTGCAATCACAACTCGGCCACTTCTGCAGACGCGGAAATTCCACAGGTGTTGCTCTTAATGGAACAGAGCTCTATTTCTAGCCGTACAGGTTTCAAAAATAAGCACAAAACTGTGCAGCTGACACCAAGCGGGGGGGGGGGGGAAGAGACGCGTGCAGCCCCTTGCTTCCCTCCCGGTGCCCAAAGCAAGACAAGACGACGGCAGCGCAACGACACTCGTGTTGCGTATCCCAGCACGCAGACTCTGGCCAGTGTCGCTTGGTGGTGAGGGTGCTGGATCGGGGTGGGGGGGGTCTAAGCCCCACTTGGCCCCATGCTGCTCGCTGGGTGGCCTTGGCCAGTCACTTGCTCTCAGCCCAACCTGCCTCGCAGGGTTGTTGTGAGGGCAAAATTGCGTCGAAGAGGACTAGGGAGGCTGCGCTGGGCTCCTTGCGAGGGGAAAGGGCGGGCTGTAAACGCGACGGAATGACCGTGCGGCAGCTTCCTCGGCGAAGCAGCGTGTCCCCGGCTGGCCCGCTCGGATCTGGGCAGCCCCCAGTGGGCTCAGCTGGTGTGTGGGCACCGGTGTGACCCCAGAAAGGTTCCTCGGGCAGCCCAAATATGCCGGCCACCCCAGGCCTTTCCTGCTCCGAAAAGAATCAGGAGGCCTCAACCGGCACGAGGGTCGTGGTGCCCGGCAGACGGGTAAAAATGCCGGAGCCCACGGCCCATGCTGTTTGTGCTACAGCCCTCTGCACATGCTCATCTGTCCTGCAGCAAGCACACCGTTGGCTTCCGCAGCTGCATTCCAGAGATGGCATCCCTGGAAGAAATTGAGCTCCTCGGAAAAGGAAAGAGGTCAGCTTCCTCGCGGAAGGGAGGGTGAAAGGAAGGGCCGGGAAGCATGTGGGCTGGATTCACAAAAGCCGGAATATCCCGAACCCGCCCGGATTCCAGCTCGGTGCCACGCCGGCTGGTGGGTGGGGGGACTGGCAGTGCCTGGCGGGGCAGCACTGATGCTCCCTGGGTAGGCACTTCCCCGACCAGGTTCAGACAAACCACAGTCACCCTTGCATACGGGTTTTCGTGACTGCTGCTGAAATGCAACTTAGCATGTCTGAACTCGACGGTGCTGGTGAGGCATGGCTTGCGAACAACCCACGAAGAGCCCCCGGTTTCTTGTTGGGCTGTGATCTGTGGTCCATTCTGCATGCTGGGCTACCTCTTTTGGCAGCACGTGCCCCGATTCTCAGGCCGGCTGTAATCCAGTGTCTCGGGAGGCACCAGGCTGGGGAGGGGCATCACGGCCCAACCTGAGCCCCCCAGCTCATGACCCCGGGGTCCCCGAGCTAAGCCCCTGCCTGCCCTCTCCGCTGGGTGCTCAGTCGGGGTCTTCTCGGGGGGAGCAGGCGCCGACCCCACACGAGCCGCGACCCTCTCTTCCCGCACGCAGGTCCCCGGCTGCGGGAGGCCCCGGCGAGCCCCTGCACCTCCTGTGCCGGGCCTACGTCTATGCCATCCACGGCTTTCTCTCGGAGATCCTGTTCGTGGCAGTCATCCTGGGCGAGGACTGGACCTTCCGGGGGGCCGCCAGCGCGTGCGCACTCCCCGTCTACGGCGCCTGCGGCCTGGCCCTGGAGCGCCTCCACCTCGGCCTGCGGGGCGACTGCTGCCTCCTGACCCGCTGCACTTTCTACATGGGCTGCATCTTCCTCTGGCAGCTCGGTGCCGGCTGCGTCCTCAGCCTCCTGGGCGGCTGCCCCTGGGACTTCAGCGCCTATCGCTTCAGCCTCCGCGGCCTCATCGCCCTGGAGCACAGCCTCGTCTGGTTCGTGGGCTCGCTGCTGCTGGAGAAGCTGCTCATCTCCACGCTGCTGAGGCTCAGGCTGCAGCCGGCCTGGAGGAAGCCCCGGAGGGCCCCCGTGCCCCGCTTCGCGCTCAAGGACGACTGAGCCCAGCCGCGCCGGCCCTGCGGGGAGGGGACGGGGGGCAGCCCCCTTCCGCGCCTCCTCGGGGCCGCCTCCTCGGCGGCTCCTCCGCTCCCTGCAGAATCCTCTGCAAGCGGGGACGGCGGGTCGGCAAGAGGGTCGGACGAACCCCTGGGGGGCCCAGGTCAAGCCCCGCAAGCCTGGGTGGCCCGCTCCTCCACCTCACCTGCCTCGCTGGGTTGCTGTGTGGGTGCCTTGGAAGGGCCCACGTAAGCCAGCACCCTGGGCTGCAGCAAGCGGGAGCAGGACAGGAGGGTAAACAGTAATTAGTGCTAATGATGCTTCTGGCAGCACGGAAGCCTCCGATCCTCCGGTTCGCTGGCCTGCCCTGCCCTGCCCCCTTCCTGACGGTTCTTTTCCCCAAAGGAAGCTGCTTTGGGGTGCAAATTACAGAGAGGAGCAGGGAAATCGGCAGCTGGAGTCCCCAGCCACCCAGAAAGGAACTGAAGCCAAGACTGAAGCCGAGACTGGGCATTAGCAATGCATCCCTGGGGCGGAACTGCTGGGTGTCTAGGATCATTAAAAAATATTCACTTTTTATCGCGTCCCAGACTGACCATCCCGGTAGCCTCTGGACCTCAGGGGCTAGAACTCTCAGCATCCCTGAGGAGTGGCCTGGAGTGCTGGGGCTGATGGGAATCGATGGCACAGGCTGGGGAAGGCGGCCTGAATGTTTCTCCCGACAGGCCCCAGCCCGGGCATCTGCTGGGTGTCCAAGATGGATCAGCAGCTTCCTCGGAGCATCAAGAGATGCTCCGGGTGCAGCTGGGGTGGCTCGGTTCCCACCCATCCATCTTGGAGCCTTCCCCTCCCTTTTGCAGCAGCAAAAGGGCTTTTTCCCTCAGAAAGAAGGGAAGGGGGGGGAGGCGCCCCCTGTCACGCGGCTGCTCCATCCACAGGGGGCCCTTTCTTCCCCACCCCTCCCCCAGTGCATAACTTCATGGGAACCGCACAAAGCTTCCCCAAGGGTGTGGGAGAGGAGGGGTTAAACCGCCCCTGCCCCCTCCTCCACCCAGGCAATTTATCCCCTTAAGCAGGGCTGGATCGCCCCGACTTCACAAGGGAAGCACAAGGCAATGGAAAGCAGAACGGGTCACCTGGAGATCATCCAGTCTGACTCCTGCTGTGATGGCAGCCTCCAGGCGGTCAGCCCACAATCCCACCGGACTCACCTGTTCCTCAGAGACCGATTCTTTTGACCAGCATTCAAGGTTCAAGTCCTCCCTCATATTCTGCTCCAGAGGGTGTCAACCCTTTTTTTAAAAAGTCACCACCACCACAGCAGCCTTTCCCAGCTGGCGCCTTTCAAATGTGCCCAGCTGCAATTCCCATCGTTCCCAGCCAGTGTGGCGCAGTGGCCCCCACGGCTTTTTCCTTTCCGTCAAAATGCTGCAGTCTTGGGCCTTCTTGTTTCAGGCCTGGAGCTGCAGGGGAGCAGTTGGCACTGGCTCGCCTGTTTGTGGCAAGCAAGCAAGCTCCTTCTCGCTTGCCACCGAAAGAGGGCAAATCATCGTCAGTTACGCACCCAGGAAATGGGTATAAGCCTGGCCTGGCCGCTGCTGCAGTATTTGCCACAAAAATGCAAAGAGAAATGTTCATGGTTTAAAATTAGAGGCAGAAAAAGAAAAGAAAAGAACTTTATTACACTTAGACCAAGTTGAAATACAGACAAATCCATTTAAAATAACACTTACTTGCTTCAAGACATGTATAAATAAAGACAAAACTGGCAATAACTTAATACAGAATACCCCCACCCAACAAATTAAGGCAGATGTTGGCTTTTTAATTTTAAAGTAAGCTAAGAAACTGAGAACTCTTTATATACTATTAAAAGAAACAAAACTGGTTCCAATGATCAGAAATAAAGCTGTTCTTTTTAAAGTCACAATAAATAGCTTAAAATATATTAAGAATTCAGGCTGGAATTTGTACAGCTGCCTTTACATAATTCTTCAACCAGAAGACCCCTGCTTTTGCCACATTGCAGGACTTCATTGCACCGCATGGATTTTGTGTAAAGGTGTCGATACTAGAATAATTGTTGTTATATGAACTCAGGTCACATCTCAAGTTACTGGCCTGGGAAAGGACTTTCTGAAGACAGAAAGGGGCGGGCAGGGGAGGAGTCTTAAATCTGAAGCATCAGCAAAACAGCACCTAAGCTCTGGATCAAATCTAGATGCAATCGATCCCAAGTTGGTTGGTTGGTTGGTTGGTTGGTTATAAAAGACAGGTGGACAACACGGCAATTTCAAAATATATTTAGTGCTACACATGCTGGCTCCCTCTCTCATGGCTAGCCATGGCCTTAAATGGATGCCAAGAGATCTTCCAGCTGGGAATTCTTAAATTCCAAGGAATAAAATTCAAAATTCTTGAGAGGGGAGTGAACAAGACCAAATTGGGAGAGGCCAAAGTCTTATGAATTGTTCCAACAAATGTCTCGTCCTGCAGACTCAGGACTCTTTGGACGGACTCTTGGTATGCTCAGAAAACCCTTGCTGGCTGGGCATGCTGAGAGCTGGGACCTGTTTCTGTCTAGCGAGGCACAGAATTGCACCTGTATCCCACCTGCGCTGAACCTAAAGAGGAGCTTTCCACACTCTCACCTTGGGGAATATTATTTCCGAGTGCTCCAAACCGCCTCTCTTGCACTGGCTTCCCACAAGCCGCACGGACGGACGGACGGACGGCCATCAACGGTGTTTCGCCTCCCGTCTGAACCCAGCCGTGGCCGTTTCCCATCCAGAGTTGTGCTCAAAACAACAGGACAGCGGAATTTACTTTACGAAAACAAAATCCCGCATGGTAATTCTGTCCTAACCAGGACAGGGAAGAATGCGATTATCCCCCGGGGGGGAGGCGGTTCGGTTTGGGGGCACAGGTGGTGGGCTGTTTATCAAGGAGAGGAGATTAACACGGGCGTGGGGGGGGGGGCAGTCCTTTCTGCCTGGCTGTTTCCCTCCCGTAGAGTTGAGGGCCACTTGCAAGGCAGGCCCGAGTGTGCGCCCCCCCACACACACTTTTGCCACTAGCAAGCCAGTTGTGCGGGGTTCTGCTCACCTGCGGGAGGCCATGGGAAACCAGGCAGAGGGGCCAAGGACATGGGAAGGGTCCTCCTCCCTCAAGCCCCCCTTGGGCTCTCTGCCAACGCCGGCAGCGCCCGCCTCTCCGCTCGGGTCCCAGAGCCGCACGACAGGCTGCAGAAGTGGCCAGAAGGGCCCTGGCACATCCCGCCCGGTCCCCCCTCTGCCACAAAGTGCAAGATGCACAAGGCGCTTGGCCTCGGAAGATGCGCGCCACGCGCAGCCTCCTCTGCCGCCGGTCAGGATGGAAGCCGCCCCCAACAAGGGCTTGCAGGCACTCGGAAGCTCCCTGCACAAGGGAGGATCCGCAGCCGGATGCCGTCCTCACCTGGAGATACACCACCCCATCTGAAAATGTTGCTTTCCTCCGCCCTCTGCCTCCCGGTTCTTCGGACAAGCTGGGCAAGGGAGCACTCGCCGCTTCCCTTCCCAGTGTCTGCCCACTGACCAAAGCGGTTTCTAACCCAGGCCCTTAATTTCTTCCTCCTCTGACAGAAAAGAAAGGCTTTGCACTGGCTGATGCGCCATGCTTAAAGCACGCACGCACGCTCCTCTGTACGATGTGGCCACCTTGAAATCACAAGCACGAGGGGCTGCGGGTTCCTTTCTCCATCTTTCCTTCCTCCTACACAGAAAGGTCTCATCTTGGAACCGTGCTGTGCCGGCACACAGAGCTCGGAATAATTTGAAAAAGTGCCTTTCTATTTGCCAAGCCCCTGACCTTCCCCTGAAACCTTATGATATTCACAGAGGGAAGCATGTGGACGTGCTGGAATACAACTTCCAGCATCCCCTGCCTGCCCAGCCAGCAGTCGTCTCTCCTCTTCCCTCAAATGGATGTAACAGCAATGGCTTACAGGCTGTTCATCTTACTGAGTCACCTGGGAAATGCAGGTGGGTTTTGCTTCTAAATGCAGTAAACAAATAAATGAATCCCAGAAAAACAAACATTCATTCTCATGGTAGAAACTTGGGTTCAAATAGGCTGGAGAAAGGCAACTGTTTTCAAGACTTCGAAGTGGTCTACAGAAGGTTTTACTCCTCCCAGCGTGCCCACTCCCCCTGCCCCACTGTTGCCTCTGGTCAAATAGGATGTGCAGGTTTTATAGTAACAGGAAGAAAACCTACACAACCTGTTTAGCAGAGACAAAAGTGGGGTGAACCTACCCGCCATTAACAACCGCTGCCCTTCCAAACCACCTTCCCTCCCTCTGCAGAAGCATTCTTCTTGTTTCAGCTGCCCCCCCCTGCAACCTCGGGGACCCCCTCTAGTCATCCGAGATGGACAGCTGGCTGAAGATTGGGAGCCTGCGAGCCGCGGGCCCCAGGCCTGGCGACTCAGAGCCGCTGCTGCGTCCCGAGCTCCCAGAGTCTTCCTGGTCCGAAAGCGAGTCGGCAGAGACGCTCTTCTGGAGCACAAAGAGGCTTGGGAAGCCGAAGGGGCCAGCGGAGCCGAGGAGGCGGCCGTGAGGGGGCCGGCCCAGGAGCTGCGGGAGGAGGGCCCCCGCAGGCCCGGGGAGGCTGCCAGGGGCTGCCCGCGGGGGCCGCGGAGAAGGCAGGGCTTCGAAGCTGGGGGGCAGCGGCTGGGGGTGCCGCGGGGGCGGGGGGCGGCGCTCCTCGGGGTTGTGGATGAAGTGGCAGCGAGCTCCGTAGGGGCAGATCCCGGCGGTGTGGAAAGTGCGGCAGGGCTCCGTCTTGTACCGGGGGTGGCGGCTGAGCTCCCGCAGCTCCGGCACGCCGTGCGCGTACTGGCACTTGGCCCCGTACTTGCACGCCCCGCTCTCCTCGAAGGCGCGGCACAGCTCCGTCTTGTAGCGCGACGAGAGCCCCCCGGCCTCTGCCCGGCTGCCCGCAGTGGCACTCCCAGAGCGAGGGCGGGGGGGCAGCTCGGCCCCCCAGCTCCACAGGGTCTGGGCTGGCCATGCTGGGTCACTCTGGTCCGGAACGGCGCCGGGAGCAAAGGCCTCATCGCGGGGCTTGTAGCTGCTCTCCTGGGAAGCGGGGAGGGCAACGGGGCGAGCCCAAGGCGGAAAGCAGGCGGCAGAAAGGATCTGGGCTTCTACGTCGTCCTCTTTATTTACAGTCAGGCCCTGGAAAGACTGCAGAAAAGGGGGAAAGACACGGAATTGGTGGCTGCAGAGGGACCGGACGCAGAGTGCAGTCGCAGTGTCGCGGTACACAAGGTTAGACCAAGAAAAGACCAGGAAGAAAACCCATTTGTTCGGCCCAAACCTTAATTAGTGAAAACGATCAAAGTAACATTTAGGCAGTGCTGTTTCAAAGAGTCTTGCTTCAAGCCCGATCAAGATCCACCCAAGGTTTTGGGTCTTTGCCAATGGCAACTCTCCACAAGCGCAAAAACAGAACATGAGCACATCCGGAACTTTTATGATGACAGCACAGAATTTCAGCAGTGATGGACGAAATTCAGCGTCCATCAGCGTCCCCGATGTCCGAGAGGAGGGGGCCTGTGGAGGAGCGTCCAGGCTATGGCTGGCCACCCTGAGAGGGGCCTGGGGAAGAGGGGGCTCAGACCCACAGGTGGCAAAGAGATGGGGTGGCTCGTGTTTTCAATGCTTTTTTATCGTGAATTTTTGAGGAAAGAAAGGGAAAAAGAAAACTGAGCGCTTTGGTGAAGGTGAAAGGGATGGCGACACTGGCAGCAACCAGGAATGAGGGAAGCCATGAGAAAATGCTGAAAGAATTGTGGAAGCTATTTCTCAGTTTGCATCTATATATTGTAACTGAGCTGAGCAGGCCGACTCTATGGCAAGCGGCAAGCAGAATCCCTCCAGACATCAGAAATGCCGTTTTGCAATGTTGGTGTTGCAAGCCTGTGATTGCAACAGAAGGATCTCAGTGCAATTAACAGGGGACTCAGCCTCAAAATGGATCTTGTCCATTTGGGAAGGAACCGTGCTCTGACCTATAAGCCCCAAACTGCTTGGCACAAATGCAGGGCCTGGGTTCCATTTGGGCTTCTCTGCATGGAGGGATCAACCCACTGCTTTAATTGGACTTTTTCATCTGTTTTCATGGCATCCTTTAATGCGCCATGCCCCCTCCCGCAAAAAGCTGGCCTTTTCTGCCTTCGTATATATCCCATTCAGCAATCACGAGGTGGAAAAACAGCCGGACAGCAGGTTTTTCTTTCCTGAGACCTTTACTCCAATTTGCTCCTGTTTAAAATTTAATACCAAACTTTCCTTGCTATCAAATGGATTTATTTTCCTAAAATACCCTGCAAAAATGGCTAGAAAGCAGGAGAGACACTTGAGAACAACATCCTGAAAACCCCAATGAATGAGAGATCGCAGGAGCTTAATAAGCATGAGAGAACCCTGATTTAACCTTAGTAGTTAGTTCAACAAAATTTGGGGGGGGGGGCAATGCCTAGTCACCAGGGGGCGCAGGATGGACCCCGGGAAGGGTTCGTGTCGCCTGAAGAATACGATTGCCAGACGGGCTCCCAGGCTCTGCACCCTGCCTGTGCTTGGGGGGTGGGAAGCTTACACTGGAGCAGGACTGTCCCCCAGCAAACCCCTGCTGGCTGATCCTAAAGCCCCACAAGCACCGACTGGGCCCCACAGGACCCCCAACGTCCCTGCCTTTGGTGTGCTTTCTAGTTCTCCAGGTTCGGCCTGCTGGGGCCAGCAAGCCCCTCTTGCCACGGGACCCAAAGGGGTGGCTTGTGGACCGACCAGCCCTGCCCGTGGCTCGCCCAGCGCATGGGGAGTCACACAGGGCCCCGGTGAATTGCTTGCAGCTGCTTGGGGGGGGGCGTTAGCTGGGGCGCGGGGTTGAGTTTCATCCCTTCCTCGAAGAGCACAACGCTGCTTCCTCCTCTTCACGACCAGAGCAGTGGAAGAAAAACCGGCGTGGGCACCGCATGCGATGCTCCCTCCGCAAAAAAGCCTCTTCCACTGCTTGGAGACACCCCGATGCGACGCAGGGGCAAATCCTGCAGGGCCTGTAACAGCTTGACCCGTCGGAGGGGGGCATGCGCTGCAGGTCAATACTCCTGTCGCCAAGGAGACAGACTGGCGCAGAAACAAAGCGGCTGCAGCCCCCCCCCCCGCTCCCGCCCCGCTTTCCCTCCAGCCATCACCAGTTCGGATGGAAATTTCCACCCTCGACTTGACTGCCGGCACGTGCAGAATTCTGCGACCCACACCTGAGCAGCGGCACCTACAAGGACTTCCTTCCTGTGCCGCCTTCGTTTCCTGTGCAGTAAGAGCGCCTGCCTTGAGCTGCGAGGCAAGGTTTCCGCTTGGTTTTGTTGCTAAACAAGCCCTTGGGCTGTGCTGCCAAGCTCGGCCCCCATTTCGCGCCTGGCCGGGCAGCAGCGGGCAGCATCCTGCCAGGTGGCACCTCCAAGCAGCCGCCCGCGTGCTCCAGGCCACGCCGCCCCTGCCTCGCGCCCGCCACATGCGCCACGACGCAACGAGACTGGGGTGTCCTGCCGCGCTTCGGTCCAGACACCTGGGAATCCCGAAACAGGAGGGGAGGCGAAAACAAGAGGCCCTCGCTCCTATGGGCCTGGAATGCCTCTGCAGGCGCGAAGCCACGCAGCTGCCAGCTTTCCCCAGTCAGCCATGATAGGAGCTAGGATCGCTTTCCCAGGCTGCCCAGGATGGCGCCTCAACCGTCCCCCCTTCGAGCCTTCGTGCAAGCAGCATATAAGCACTTAGAACCATCAAGCGCGCTTTTGCTTCTGCGGTGACCAGTGCCTCCCCATCCGTGGACTACCACTCCCATAATCCCCTGCCATGGGCTACCCTGGCTGTAGAGGATGGGAGGTGTGCTCAAGCACCTATCAAGAGCGCCTGCTTAAGGGAAGCTGACGCGTCCCTCCGCACCCTCCCCCGTAAACATGCGGATTAATTTCAGAGTCGGGGCATCCCCACGGCCCGGATCCGCGCAACAACGCTCAGGAACGCGGCTCTGCTCGGGGGCCAGAGGGGGCGGTGAACGGCGGAGTGCGGGAATGCAAGGGGCCCGTGGGGGCGCGCCTTTGGGGTCAAGCAGCGGGAACAAGAACCCCGAGGATCGTATCCCCAGCGGGAAGCTGAGGAGCCCCGGCTGGCCCTCGCCCCACCCCAAAGGGTGCGTGTGCTTTTGCAACACGAGACCCCCCAGGCCCCCCCCGCAGCCCCCCCCCCCCCAGGGGTTTTGAAAACCCCCCCCCCCCCCCCGCAGCATCCGAAGAGGCATCCGAAGGGTGGGCATCTCCCAAGCCACTCCGGGAACCGGCAGCCAGAAAGAGCCAAGGACGCTCCCGGACACTCGGAGCCCCCGTGCGCAGGGCGGCTTCCCCCCGCCCTGGGGAGCTTCCCCCCGCCCCCCGGCAGCACCATCAGAGGGGGCAGAGCGCTGCGCGCGCGCAGGGGGCGGGGGGCGCGTCCTGCAAAGCAGGAGCGCCCCCGAAGCGGCCTCCGAAACTCCGGGAAAGTTTCGGGCGCACGCGGGCGAGTGCCTGCCGGCCGGCGCACCGGCTTACCTGGCGGCGCTCCTCTCCCGGGGGGGCGCGCGGGCTCCGGAAAACGGGGGGCATCGCCTCGCGGTCCTCAGCCCTTCCCGCGGAGGGCCACCGAGGAGACCCGGGAGGCCTCCGCGCCGCGCCTTAAGTACCACCAGCGCCGCGCCGCATCCTTCGAGGCGCCCGGAGGCCCCGCCTCCTGGTCCGAAGTCTTCCCATGGGCAGGGGGCGCCGGGCTGCGGGAGGGGGGGCGAGCTCCTGGGGGTGGGGGCTCTCCTGGATGTGTTTGCATGCGCCCCATGCCTTGCCAGGCCCTCTCTCTCCCCCTCGCAAGGAGCCCGCGCTCTCACGCGCCCCCTCCCCGCTCTCCTTTGCAAAAGACCCCCGTGTGGGCTCGCGGGGGCAGTTGGTGGCTGGTTCAGCGTCGAGGCTCGTCGGATGCCTGGAGGGAGCAGGCCCCGATGGTGAAAGCGGGCTTTGCCCTGCACGGGGAGCGGTGGGGTTTGCAGAGTTGGGGGCAGACCCAGCGCGGACGAGGAACAAAACGTTACATCGCACTAGCACAAACAACTTTGGGCCCAGTTCTTCTGTGGCAGCAATCTGCACATCACTTCAACCATGGGCGGTTAGGGTGAATTCTGGCCTGTACAGTCTATGGATTGCCCAGACTTGGCTCATGTCAGAATCTCCTAGCCAACGGTGTGGATGGATATTCAGACCTGCAGGGAAGACTCAATCGCCTTGAACCCCAGGCCTTCGTTGCTGAGCTCACCCAGGCCCCCTGCCGCTACTTACAACATGCCACCAGGTCATGGTCTCACCGCCAAGTGCAAAATCACAGCCCATGTACACACATTTTCATAACCTTCCAGTCAAATACACAATATTAGGTTTCCAGATGGTGTTAACCCACACAAAATACTCTGGACTGATCAGAAATGCCCATGACAATCGGATGGCAAATTTCCCTGACTGAGCATGCGGACAAGTCAATTCACGGTATTCCTGACTGTCTGGATCAGCCTCTGTGCCTGCTGAAGCATGCAAATGTGTCTGACTGAGGACCCATTCAGGATGCCTGGCAGGACTCTGTGCAACTGGATGATTCAATGGGCCCATTCCAAAACAAAGGGACACCTTCCTTTCAATTGCAGCTGATGAGAACACCTGAATTTCCCCAGGGAGTCTGTTGCCTCCAGCAGCTCAGAATTCCATCTTCTTAAAGGAACAGCGATGCTAAACAGTGACCTGCTAAACAGTGACGATGCTAAACAGAATTCTGCTGTTCTCTGCGAAGTCTGATTGTATAACACCGAGGCACATACAAGCAACCTTTTCCTACCAGGATTTATCTGAATTTTCCCAACACTAACAACCTAGGAAAGCTAATAACCCGGTTTGCTGATCAACTGCAGACGCAACGAACGCACCAGTGGCCTCACAGCTGCCGATATGTGTTAGGAACGCGCAGGCCATTCCTGGGTTAAGTGCGCCCGGGATGGCGGCTGTGCAACCCAGCTCATTGCGTCAGCTGGAGCAACGCTTTCCCTGGAAAACCGGGCTCGCTTCTGCTCGCGCAGCCTGCGTTGCGTTAGCTGGCTAAAGGTGGCTACTCTCCCGGATCCCGCTGCATCCATCACGCAGTCCTGGTGCAGAGCGAGAGCAGGAGTGCCTGCGTCCGGACAGGCCACTCAGGCCCTCTTGCAGATCTATCCCGCACGGGGCTCCGGGGCCAGGCCAGGCGGCAGCCCCTTTCAGCCACAAGCTCCCTCGGTTTCCTATTGCTACTTCTGTCTTTTTTCTTCCTAGGGAAAAAAACTCTTAAGGAAGAAAAGGTGGAACAGCTGCTTGGTTGCTGCTAGGAGCCCTCTGGGAGTGCAGGCTAGTGGTTAGAACAAGTAACAGTTGAGCATTAGGGTTCCCGAGTGGTTTCTCAGCTAACCGTTTGTGGAGATGGGGTGAGAGTCAGAGCCTTTCGCTGTGTTTCTGAGAGTGGCCACTTTTATTTTCCCACTGGAAAATAGCAGCAGCACCTTACAGGCAGAAATTCACCAGGTGCAGCTTGTCCCAACACTGTTCTTCAGGCCAGGCAAATCTTCGCCCTTAAGGGTGCGGCAGGAAGACCCGCAAACCTCCGGTTGTGTGCATGCATGTGCACGGGTCCGCTCAGATTCTCAGCGGTCTAAGCAAGGAGGCTCAGGAGCCGACGAGGTCGTCACAGACCGCTCCAGGGGCTTCCATCACCGGGCTGGAAAGAACAGTTCAGGAAGAGGGCGAGAAAGGTTTCCATGCTGCGTGAACGGCGACGGCACGCACTGGCTGGCGCAGGGGCCCCTCAAGGGGCCGCGGGTGCTACCTACAGCTCGGCAGAGGAGGGGCCCCACCGCAGCGCCACCTGCACCGCCCGCCTCGCTCCCACATTCTCCCCCTGTGGCTGGCACGGCCACAGGCCCCCTCGCCCCACAGCGAGGCAGCTCCAGCAGCCGAGTCACAGGGTGCCCCGAACCAGCTGCAGCCCTTCCTGCCAGCCGTGCTCAGGCACTCTTGCCAGCGAAGGCGGGCTTCCGGTGCTGCGCACGTGCTGCTCCTACAGCCTCCCCGCCACCCGCAGCCGTTTACCCAGCATGCACAACCCACCCCCTTCTGTCCCAGGGTACTTAATCTGGAATAATTCCTATCTCCCTGGCTCAGGGTTGAGCGGAGACATTTGGAACCTCTGAGCAGTGCCAAAGTTACGGCACATTTGCCCAGCATTTCGAAAGAAGGCTGCCTTCAGCAGCTGCCTGCAAGGAACCGAGCAGAGGGATTTAACACGGAAATGCAAACACGCTCTTGCACAAGAGGGAGGCCATGGGCAAGATGCAGAGGGAAACATTCCCACCTATACATTCAAAGGAGCCCTAATCACCCTTGCAAGATTAGAAAGCCAAACATTTCCTACCTGCAGCAGCCATTCCTCACAAGCCTCCTTGTATCTCCTCCGGAAGGTGGGCTTAATCCACATCCAGGCCTCTTCTCCAGGTCAACCCACAGCACTTCTCATGCAGGTGTGGTCGGGGCGAAGGGAGGCAGTTTCTATCCTCCTGTTAAAGCACTTTGAGTCTTTTCCCGAGAAAGCTGAGAAGACTCCTGAAGAATCAACACACCCACCGGCGAAGCCCACTTGTGTGGGTGCTTGCCCAGACATAACTGGCCACACACGTGGGGGACGGCGGCACCAGCCCACTCCTGTGGCCTCGGAAAGCAGCTGCAAGGGGGCCTGGCACCCTCTGCCCCACCCCACTAGCTCGAGCACTGAGCCCAGGAGGTAGAGCACCTGCAGGTGGCCAGGGGCTGAGCTCCTAGTGTTCCCACACAAGCCACCCAAGTAGCCGCTGATAGGAAAGCGCGTTCTCTGCTTGGGGCCGGGAGGGGACCCCTCCGGGAGCAGGTGGCGCTGGGCCAGGATGGCCCGAGAACCAAGCTCCAGAGACCTGCTTGTTGCAGGACAGCAACCCAGAAGCTCTGGATGTGTCCCCGTGTCCTTCATGACTCGTGGAGCTGTGTTAACCCTAAGCACACTGGACAGGTGGTCTGGGGGGATAAAGCGAGGCCTTTCCTGGGCCTACAGGTGACACTGCAGAGAGAGAGAGAGAGAGAGGGAGGGAGGGAGGGAGGGAGAGGGAGAATGCAAGAGGGCTTGCCAGCAGGCTCATGTGTGATGGACTGATACAACCACAAACCTCATCCTGCCCCCACCCCCAGCTTGTTCCATGGCTGTTGCTCTTTAAAAAGCAAACAAACCATGAGTCTGTATGGTGGACAGATGTTAGTTTCCTATTTTGTAGGAACATCTCAGACCTGCCATGTGATCCTGGAGCAAGCCAGGCTACTGTGGCCGTCACCCAGAACTCATGCAGGGCCCTTCCCGCTCCCCCTGGGGATGGTGGGCCCGGGCTGCCAAATGCCGTGGCTGCTCCGCCTCGTAATCTCCAGGCAGAGTTTTGTGGCCTGCCAGGCATACCTGAGATATTCCGCAGAAGTCCCGCTTCCTAAAAAAAGGAAGGAAGCAGGGAAACGTCTTAGTAGCCATTGGCTTTGCTTGTCTCCTTTTGACCCCATCATTTGGGATGCAAACATTTCCCCCTAGAAATTGGCACTCTGAGACCTTTCGTGGCAGGTCAGGGCTGCATGGAAGACAAGGCTCAGCAGGAAGCCTTGGCCAGGACCCAACGTAAGGGAGACGCTTTTTGGTCGTGGGCAGGATATCAAAGCTGCGTTCTGCGTGGGAAGAGGGGTTTTCTTCTCTCTCCAGGCCTGGATGATTTTAGGATGTTCGACCAACATGCTGGGATTCAGTAAACCTACTGTATTTCAATGTATCTTATTGTGTTGTAAGCCGCCCCGAGGCTTCGGCAAGGGGCGGCATAGAAATGTTATAATAATAATAATAATAATAATAATAATAATAATAATAATAATAATAATAAATGATTCAAAGTCTTTTATAGCACTTTCACAGGACATCTTGTCTTTACAGACCGAAACAGGGCGCACAGAGATTCCAGCGACGACTTAAACTTAAAATAAATGCTCCCTGGCGTATACAAAAATGTAAGGCTGCAGTTTTATACACACCTAGGACCACACCTTCCCGGGGTGTCGTACTACAGTTTCCATCATTCCCAAGCAGCACGGCCATGCTGGCCGGGGAAAGGGAGCCTTTTCCATGGTGGCCTCGAGAGACGTGTAGGCTGGAGAAGGCGCCCGATTCGCTTGGCTCTCAGGCACTGGCAAAGCCGTTTTGCCACCCGGGATGTGGCTCGCGAGGGAGGCGCTCGTGCCCTCCTGCCCCAAGCCAGGGCCGGCCTGCGGAGGACTGGAGCGTGGCCCAGCCCGTGCGCCTTGCCTGGCGGGAAGGCTGGTCTCCGTCTCGCGGCTGCACCAGCAGGCGGGGAGGAGGGGCCGAGGCGGCGCGAGGGGAGGGGGCGGCCTGGGCACGAGGGGAGGGGGCCACGCTCCAGGTGCCTCCTGCGGGCGCAGCCGCGAAGCAGCCGTTGGGCTGTGGGTTCTGCAGGAACCACCGAGGGGCCGTTTGGCTCTGCCGTCGGACCCCGGCAAGCCCCTCTCGCCCTCATCCGGAAAGGCAGGGCCGCCGGGGCAGGGCCGCCGACTCAGAGTCGGGGGGGGGGGTGGCCGCGCCAGGGGAGCCGAAGCCAGAGGGCCCGGCCGTGGGGCCTCGCAGCATCTCCCGCCTGGGTCTGAAGCCCGTGGAGACATGGCAGGGCCAGAGAAACCGGCTGTCTGGCTCAGCACAGGAGATTCCTAGCTGGGGGGGGCGGTCAGTCCCTGGAGGGCTGTGGCTTGAAAGGAGACTGGCGGCGACCACGCCGGCCCCTGTAAATTGGGGGGAGCCTTAACGTTGCGTGTCCTCAGGTGCCCCCGTTCAGTGCTGGGGTCAGCGTGGGGGGCACCTCAGGGCCCCGGTCGCTTACCTGTTCCATCAGGCAGCTGTTCCCCAGAAGGGGGCTTCCCCGTAGAGAGGCGGGCAGTCCCTTGCAGCGGTGGGGAACTCCGGTGCCGGCTGCACGCAGCGTGTTCCAGCTGCTGCCCGAGCTTTGGAGGAGCCACGCGTGGCCCCGAGCCTGGTTCGTGGCTTGGGGCTCTTCAGCCATTCAGAGCCCAGCCTGGCCTGGAGGTGGTGCCCGGTCACGGCCCCAATCTCCCCTGGCAGCCCTAAAATTCAGGGACCCTACAGGACGCTGCATGGTGACAGAAACAGGCTTGTGTGGCCGATATTTGGCGATCTTTCCTAGAATGAACGTGCCTTGAGCTTCAAGAGGAAACGCAAGACGTGTTTGCTTAGCCAGCTTTTGGGACAGGACAGTCGGGTGTCCGATGACGGAAAGAACCCCCGAAAGCTGTGACTACTCAGGGTAGATCAGGGGCCCTTCAGGGGTTTGGGATGTCGACGCCATCTTCCCAGCCAGCAGGGCAGCGCTGGCTGCGTGGGCCCCCCCCAGTCCCGTGCTCTCCAGACGGGTGGGCCTGCAACGCCCATCAGCTCCAGCCTGGGGTGATGGGTGCCGGCCCGTTCCCGTGCAGCCTGCAAGCAGGGCAGTGTGGCCAGGAGGGGGCAGGACGGGCCTTGCAGCCTTCTGGAGCGAGCCTCGAGGCCTTTGCTTTGACTGCTGCACCCTGGGTTTTTTTTTCCAGTTTTTATTTTTAATCCTCGCAGGTCAGAACAGTTTGTTCCACCGGCTGCTGAGTTCATCCTGAGATGCGAGGTTAGTGTGACGATGAATCATAATGGCCCGCAGAGGAGAGGTTTCTATTGATTGCTGTCAGTGATTTCTTGGAAATGAGAATCAAAGGTTAGCCGGCTTCAAGCATGTCAACACCAAGGCCTGACAGGCGAAAAGGCGCGCTGGAGGTGGACGCGAGAGCAGCCGAGCAAGGGCTTTACGCTGTCAACAGACAGTCATCCAGTGGATGAAGCTCGTTGCTGTCAGCTCTACCTGTTGATTTCTGCTTGCGGTGCAGCTCTAAAAAAAACAATTTCAAACTATTTTTCAAAAATTGCCAACGCCTGGGAGGCAGTGATGGAAAAACACGGGGATGTGGTTTGACGAATTATGGACTGTTTACACTTCTGGCTTTGTCGGTAGTTCTGTTCACAGGCGTTGCCTTGTTGTCGAACAAGCTCTGTTTTTAGGCAGAAAGGCAACCGGTGCTAATTCGCTGGCTGAGGACTGCCGTGCACGGGGTGAGCTAATCTGTAAAACACGAGGCCGCCGAGCAGAGCCTGCCTGCCCGCCCGCCCCTTTTGCACGGCTAAGTGCTGCTCTTCGCCACAAGCCGAGACGTGTTTATGGCACGGAGGCCGGCGGCAACCCAGTGCAACACTGGCACAAACAACAGTTTGAGTGGACAGGGGTGCGCTTGGTCCAAACGCTCCCGTCCCGAGCAAATCCAGACTAAGGTTGCCCCTTTTCCTTCCAGTGCAGCTCTTGTGGCTTTCACAAACACACACCCCGGAATACGAGAGGCAAAGCTTTCGCTGTCACTTCACCTATGGCCTGAGAAGCTCTGCTTACTGGATCTCTCCATATTACAGCAGCCTCTGAGAAGGAAAAATTGGGCAACGCCTAAGTGGTTCCATTTGTCTCTCGAACAAGCGAAGCAATCCAGGAAACAGCGAAACAGCGGGGCAGGACCAGCACATTGAGCAAGTGCAGATCCTGGGGAATTCTGTTCTTCGAAAAAACGTGATATCCGAGTTTCAAAGATTACCCAAGCATTGTTAGCAAAATCTGAGCATTCCATTCCCAAGACCCACCCTAAAAATTGTGCATTCGCCCAGCATTTCCAATACACACATCTGAATTTCAAACAAGGAACGGTTTGTGTTCAGCAGACACTTCTAGTGAGGAAACATCTTACCGCTCAAGCATCCAGAAGTAAGAGGAGTGGCCTGCAGCAGCCCCAGATGAGACCTTTTGGGGTGGGGGGAGTGGATACTCCTAACCTCAGTAAAATCGAGCAGGTGACATTGGGGGCAGGGGGTTTGGACACACCTGAAAGCTGTTCTCCTCCGGCCGTTATGAGAGGTGCAGGGACCGGACTGGACGGATGCAACGTTACAAGACGGGGAGCACTTGGCTCAGCGAGAACGCGAGCGAGAAGGTTCCTGGGATTGTCCTGGAGCACAAGCGGAATATGAGTCAACCAGGGGATGCGGCTGCAGAAGGGCAAATGCTGCTCTGGCCTGCACTGACAGGAGCAGCACTTCCAAATCCCGTGACATCCCGGTTCCCCTTCGCTCAGCGCTGGCCGGGCCTCGTCCGGAGCCCTGTGCCTGGTTCTGGGCATCCCAGCTGAAGGGAGATACAGGCCAGCCGGAAGGGCTCAGAGGAGGGCAGCCGGGAGGATCCGGGGACTGGAAACGAGCCCCGTGAGGAGACGGAAAGGACTGGGCATGTCTCGCCTGGAGGAGACTTGGGGGAGAGGGGATCCTGCTCTGCAAGCGCTTCAAAGGCAGTCGGGACGAAAGCTGGCCTCTCCTCCACCGTCCTGGAGTGCAGGCCATGGAATCGCAGCACAGGCTCAAGTTACAGGAAGCCAGGTTTTGGCTGGGTATCAGGAAAAATTACCTTCCAGGCCAGTGGACCCCATGACCTAGGGCTCTCCCACACAAGAGGCATTCAGGATGCGACTGGCCAGCCACCTGAGCGGGACGGTTCACCCTGGAGCCCTCCGGCCCCTTCCGGCTCTGCTCTCCTAGGACCCTATGGAAGAAGTTGGCAGCCCGAGTCACTCCAGGCTTCTGCCGAGGGCCCCAGCCCTGGGAAGTGCAGAGGGCGCATGCGGCACATGGAGCAGGAGCCAGCAGGCCGCCGAGCCGCCCGGCGGCCGCTGCTGGGACCTCTCCAACCCCCATGGCTGCTGCGTCAGCGCCCCAGCTGTTTGCTCAGGAGGAATGGCCCCTCTCCCGGCCCTTGACCCACATCGGCATTCCGCGAGCGGCTGGGAGGCTGCAGCGCTGACGCAAGATGCGCTCGGCTGACTCCTGTCCCCCTCGAGTCCCGGCCGGGCCGGGCCGGCAGCCAGCGCTGGCCCTGCCGCTTTCCACCAGGAGAGCTCGGAGACGCTCGTGCTCCACCTCCACGTCCTCTGGCCGGCTTGGCCTGGCATTCCGGGCGGGGGGACCCCAGCCCCATGTCTGCCATGCCAGAAGGCAGGTGCCTCTGCGCAGAGAAGGCTGCTGTGAAGCGGGCCCGGGAGGGGGCCACCCTCGGCTCAGACACCCAGCGCACCGCTTGGCCGGGGAGGTGTGAGCGCTGCCCTCGCGGGCTCCAAGGCCCCGCCGAGGCCCCCTCCCCGTGGGAGCCGCTGCCTCAGGGCCACCCTTCCTGCTGCTGCGCTGCCTCCTCCTCCTCGCTCGCTCGCCCGACACAGAGCAGGGGGACACGGGGGCCAGCCGCCCCTCGCCCCTTCTTCTCGCCACCACTGTGCTGAGCCAAAGTGAGAGGGCTTTCCAAGCAGGTCCCCCAGGCTGCGGGAGAAACACCTCCCGGGGCTGTTGCCAGGATGGGCCCCCAGCAGAACCTGGCTCTGCCAGCCGGCCTGTCGCTGGGCGCTCCCAGACTCTCGGCTGAACTGCAGGCTGCGGCCAGACTCAGGCCTCAGCTTAGGGCTAGGCCCGGCCCAGCCCGGCCCGTGTCGCCACGTGCTGTTGCCTCCAGGCCCTCGGAGACACTCCGAAAGTGCAGCTGGTGGCGAGCGCTGTGGCTCCAGGGCCCCGGAACCAGGCCTCTGCCTAGAAGGCCTGAGCAGCTGGGGGCCCTCGCCCACACAGGCCGGCCCAGGAAGCCAGGCTCAGTCCGGGGGGCCAACACGGCTGGACCCTTCCGTGCCACCAGGATTTAAGACTGCGATTCAATTATGCGCAACCTGTGGTCCATTCGGCCCGAAATGCGGGTGCCGGCCGGCAGCCACCGCTCCCCCGCTTTCTGGCAGGATCTCTCCCGGCCGCTGGGGACACCAGGGCGGAACGGGGCAGGTGTGCTCCCAGGGTGCCCCGGCTCGCTGCACTCTCTCCGCAAAAATAAACACAGCATTAGATCAAAATTTCCCGACAGGAAGGGCAGGCGAGGGAATTTCCCGGGGACAAGGGGCGTGCGCCGCGGGCCTCCTGCAACGCTCCGCAGTTTTATAAACATCATG